ATAGAAGTCTGAAAGTTTCTGAATGGAAATTTGTTTTGGTGCAATATGTAGTCAAAAATTTCGAATTTGTTTTATTCTTTATGAATAGACTGTCACATCTCAAGAATTTTAGTATTATAAAACTTGGGGTGTGACAATTATGGTATTAGAGCATATGCAGGAGGGAAGAATGTATTATTAATGCCTTCTCAAAAATGGAGTTGGGTGCAAAAAGACTATATTGTAATGTCTCCTCAGAAATCGCACCGAGGATGATGAAGGTAAGAGAGGAAGAGATGGGAGGCGATTACTCACTGTATTCAACAAGAGGAGAGAGAGAGAGAGTTATTATGAGAGAGAATTTTAAAATAGGAGAGAGAGAGAAAGTTTCATGAAAATGGAATGCCTCATTGCAAGATGTCATAAAAACGATAAGTGTGGTGCAAAGCTTTCATGTTAAAAAAAACGTTTGAAGTAGAAAATGGTGGACCTAAGGTCCACCCAAATACAGTTGGACCATCAAATGATTAAGTCAACCCAAATAAAGTTGGACCATCAAATGTTATGAAATGATATATTAACAAATTATGGTATATTAACAATAATATCGCATTATTTATTGTTAGTCATTATTTACATTAACAATATGGAGTTAGCAATATATTAATGGTATATTATAGAATTATTACTATTATTATATAATTATATTATATAATTATAATGGTGTATTATAGAAATGTTACGATAATTATTATGGAATTATTACTATAATTATTATTAATGGTATATTTTAAAACTATATATATATATATTAATGGCATATTATAGAATTCTATAATATAATTATATAATAATTATAGAATTCTATAATAATAGTAATAATTCTATAATATACCATTAATATATTGCTACTTCTATATTGTTAACGTAAATAATGATTAACAATAAATAATGCGATATTATTGTTAATATACCATAATTTGTTAATATACCATTTCATAACATTTGATGGTCCAACCTTATTTGGGTGGACCTTAGGTACGCCATCTTTTACTTCAAATGTTTTTTTTTAGCATGGCAGCTTTGCACCCCACTTATCTTTTTTATATCACCTTGCAATGAGGTGTTCCATTTTCACGAAACTTTCTCTTTTATATATAAAAAAAGAAGCTCTCTCTCTCTCTCCTATTTTAAAATTCTCTCTCTCATCCATCATAGCTCTCTCTCCTCTTGTTGAATACAGTGACTAATTGTCTCCCATCTCTTCCTCTCTTACCTTCATCGTCCTTGGTGTGATTTCTGAGGAGACATTACACTATAGTCTTTTTGCACCCAACTCCATTTTTGAGAAGGCATTAACAATACATTCTTCCTCCTGCATATGCTCTGAAACCATAATTGTCACACCCCGAGTTTTATAATACTAAAATTCTTGAGATGTGACAGTCTATTCATAAGGAATAAAACAAATTCGAATTTTTTTTACTACATATTGCACCAAAACGAATTTTCCATTCAGAAACTTTCAGACTTCTATTCACAACTTATATTAACATAAAGGTCTACATATATATATATATATATATATATACAAGGTATTACCAAAATCAACGATAAGGGTATAAGACCGAAGCCTAGATGCCCTAGAGGATTCTTAAGGTCGCTATATTAGGGGATGTACCTGCAGTAACATGTGCCTCAAAAGAGCCCCTCTTAATGTAGCAGTCTGAGTGGGAGAAGTTGAGTGAGAGAGTGAGAAGAGGGAGATGAGAGGGAGTGGAGTAAGAGGAGGAGAGAGAATGAGAGTGGAAGAGGGAGAAAGAGAGGTAGAGAGAGAAAGTGAGGGGGAGAGAATTAGGAGAGAGAAGGAGGGAGAGAGAGCGGGAGCGAGAGAGTGAAAGAGGAGGAGAAGGGTGCCGCTGGCTTAGGTAGAGAGAGAAAGCAGGAGAGAGAGAGTGAAAGGGGGGAAGAAGGGCGTCGCCGGCTTGGGGAGAGAGAAAGCGAGAGAGAGATAGAGGGAAAAAAGAGACAGAAGAGAGAAGAAAAGGGAGAAGAAAGAAGAGAAAGAAGGAAGAAGAAAAGAGAAAAGAAGAGGAAGGAGAGAAAGAGAGAGGAGAGAGAAGAGAATGATTAGGTACCTAGTGGCCAGCTGGTGGCTTGAGCCCGGGTGCTAGCTTCGGTCCCGATCCTTTGAGTGCTCGAGTGTGAGGCTAAGGGTTTGGGGGAGTGAAGGTTAAGGGTGTATGGAGTGTGGAGTGTATGAGTCTTTGGTGGTCTATAGGTTTTGATGCAGGGAGTATAGTGGGGTTAAGTGGTGACTATGGTTTAGGGGTAGAGATTGGTGGTCTAAACAGTATAGTGGGATTAAGTGAGGACTAAGGTCTAGGGGTAGTGATTGATGTTCTAAGGAGTATAGTGGGATTTGGTGGGGACTATGGTCTAGGGGTAGGGATTGGTGGTCCAAGGGTATGAGCTCAAGGAGAAAAGTATTCTCTCTCCTCTCTCTTGATTTGTGAAGGAAGGAAAAAACACAAGCTCAAAGAGGAAAATGCTTGATTTTTAATCTCAACTTAGCCAACCTTGTTACAATTTCTTTATACTCTAGGTTACAAATGAAGTAAAAATGCTTATATAGAGTCATCCAAAATCATGGGTGGATGCTCAAACGTAATCCTAATTGACTAAAAATACAATAAAAATGAATTAAAAGTGAATTTTGTTTTATGAAAAATAAGCATTTTGGCCCTCCATAGAATTGTGAAAATGATAAAACCATCCCTTCAAAGGGGCCTCTTGCCTTTGCTATGGTTCAAGCCTATTTTCAGTGCATTCTGATGACATTCTGAAGGATCTAACACCATAGAAGTGTAGGTCTTTGCAAGGTGATCGTTTTGATATAAGATTTGAGCCTTGAATCGATCTTTTGACCTTGGTTCCAAAATCCGGCCAAAACTTATCAACTTGAGATTTTCAATCTTCGATCTTTCATGTTTCGTCGCGTTCTTGGTCATCTTTCTTATCACAAATCAAAGGGGAAGTCGTGATTATTTTGCAATGAAAGTCCCTCGATTTGCAAGGAAAATGGGTTTTTGACGACCTAAAAACTATGCCTATTTTGGAGAATAAGGTGTCTTCCCGGCCTTGATCTTGAGCAAATCTTACCTCAAATCGAAGCCCTTCGAGGGTCGCAACGGACCCGACCTCAAGGTTATCCAACACCTAGGCTTCGAGAAACAATCATGGGAGTGAAGGGATGTCATACTTGAAAAACTCTGCATTTCATGCTTTCCGGTCATACTTCTCTCTAAGATTTCTTCCGTTTTGGGCGTCATCTCGGGCCGTGTCATATGTCAAAACGTGCGTCTCGATGAGATGAGCAACATACTGAAATTTGGGGTCAATTGGCCTTACGATGAAAGATATGACTCTTCCAAGAAATCCCGTATGTAGAAAACACATTTTCCATTGAGGCTCCTCATGAATAGTATAAGGCCTACTTATTTTAGGAAAGTGGGGCCTAGCGAATGAGCTGAAATTTGGTAGTCTGGGGTTTTTGGGCATTCTGAGTCCATTTGTGGTGGTCTAATGCTCACCAGAGACTTTGGCAGTATAGCTCTAGTTATGAAGTATTTTGTGCACGTTAGAGAGCAACATTGCAAATGAAATTTCGTTATGTTTTGCCGAATCTTTATCTGATTGAAATGAAACTTGATGTGTATGTTTAGGACATCAAATGCCACCCGCTCATGCTTTTTGAGGCCAGGATAACACCTTTTCAAAATTTTTCAAAATTAGGCTTATTTGGTCATGAGCTTCCGTAGTCCCAAAGTTCAAAAAAATGGATTCGGGCGCCTAGGCGGTTTGGGTGCCTGGCTGCCTAGGTAGGCGCTTGCGGACAGGGAGCCCTCAACAATATCAAAACCCCCCCCACCCCAAATATAAAAAAGTAGGTGAGTTTTTAGGGCTGGTTTATAGCCTTAGGGGGTTTTTAGGGCAATTTTAAAGACCCAAACTCCTCGTGATCATGAAATAGACGACAAAAATCAATAAAAGAATACCATATGTCAATTTCATTGTCCAAGTGTGAAAAAAATCAATAAATCACCAAAAAAATCAATCTCTTAACGACAAACATGTAAATATATCGTAAAAGAAAAAATAAGTAAAAGAAAAAACACATGATTCATAACACAATTTGTTGTAGCAAAATAAAATCAAAACTCTCTTTCAAATATGATAATACTTAAAAAATATCAAAATCAAATCGGTGTCGGTGCAAACCTCATCTATTGGGTCGTCAAAAGTTCTCAAAATCAACTATTAGAACCTCCGAATCTACCGACGAACTATTGTCTTCACAAAATAAAATTGAAAAAATATAAAATTTATTGATCTTTCGAGAAATCACAAAATAATGGTTTTTGAGGGGTTTTTCTCCCCCTAAAGGCCACGGATTGTATATTGGGTTTAAATTACCCCCTAAAACCCTTCCCCCCCCCCCCTTTTTTAAGGGGAAAAAATTATGTATTTTACCGTCACCTAAGGGTTTTTTTCCGCCGCCCGAAAATTGTCACGGGGCGGCGCCTAGGCGGCCTCTCAGACAATAGCGCTAGGCGGCACCCAGACCGTCTAGGCGGGTCCCTTGAAGCAAAACGCCTTATGCACCCCCCTAGACCGGGCCTAGGCGTTTTGAAAATTTTTCAAACTATGCATAGTCCATAGGCATTTTTGGTACCTGCGGGCCTAGGTTGCCATAGTCTCCTCTTTATTTGTACCGGGATACAAGTGCGTCAAAAATACCCTACAACATTAGGTCTTTCTTCAAAGGATGCAGATTTTCCATTAGGTGCTAATAGTGTCGAACTATTTGATTGCTGAGGAAGATCTAGAACGCTTCGGATGATTATATAGTTGAACATGGAAGATGTTTATGATCATGTGGACTTGGATTTCTTGTGTACTTTTTAGAATGGATTTTCTAATAGATGGATAAGATGCCCAATGATTCCCTAGGAAAATTTCTCTTAATTGTGTCAAGAATCCTTTTTTCTATGGTCACTAGGTGTCCCAACATTAAATTGAGTGGTCCATGCGGTTAAAGCTGGACGTATTTATTTGCTGCGTAATGTAACTAGATGATTATCTTCTTCAACACAGTTGCAGAGCATGCCAAAAGCAAAAGTTAAATGGAAGTTTTTTTCAAACCAGATGAATTAGAGAATTGTAGTAATAACTTTCTACTTCATGTTCATTTTCAAAAAAAATGGAATAATAATTTCTACTTCATGTTGGCTGGTTTGCATTTGAGCTTCAAATCCTTGACTATATTCAGCAATAGCTAAAGTGCCCCTTAACTGGGACCTTTCCTCTGCTCACTTCCTTTATTTCACAAGCGAGGTTCACCATAGGAACTTTAGAATCTTTCTTAAATATGCTGATGAGGCTGCTACTTTGTGTTTATTTTAGCTTGGTTGGGAAGTCGAAATGCATGTTAGTTAGCCTTAGCTGCAACCTATTTAGCTGTTTGCTAGTAATTGTTGTGCATAATGCAAAATGTTTGATTTCATACTGGTCATTTATAATTTTACCACCAAGTGAGAATCCTGCAATTCTCCTTGGAAGCACTTCTTTCCTCTCATAAACAAGCAATTTACTGATCTAGTTGAAGACTGGTGTGGGTTAACTCCAGGATTTTGTTGTACGTAATTGAAGTACTTTTACATTTTGTTATGTTCGTAGGATTTAATGAGGCTTTGGATTTGTATAGCTGAGAGAAAACAGGATTTATGTAATTTTGTGAAGTACAATCATCAACATTATTCATTACTTGACGTAGTAATATCATGACATAAGCAGTGCTGTTTGGAAATTCTCTGCGGGGGATTTATTCAAAGCGTGGTATGCTCCCATTGCTAGCATTCATGTAGTGTCTTTTTGTTAGTTTTATCAAGATGGCTTTTTCTTAACTGCGGTTGTCATATGTAAGGGCTTCATTTCAAATTCTAAGTATTGTTTATTCCTGCATTTATACACTGAGAACTTCATAGTCTCCTCAGCAGTATGATGTTTTTCTTTTATTATGGACAAAAATCGATGATAAAAATATATCTTGTTTCCACTTATACATGTAGTTTCATTTCTCCATCTACTTATGTCGGTTTCAGTTATTGTGTTCATGAAGATTTGCTAAGTCTAAATCTGCCTGTTGTTATGCCAGATACTAAACTTAGAAGAACCAATTACTGCGCTTAAAGTTATTCATGTTGCTGGGACTAAAGGGAAGGTTGTCAGCTTTGTTTCAGAGATAATTGATTGCGACAAAATAGAATGCACTCATTTCATGTCAGATTTGCTGATCTTTAGAATTCTTTGGACTGTTTTTAGGACAATTATTGATTTGGCCAGATCAAATATGTGGTTGTGATGGTCAGATTTAGGTTTAATTGTTCTATAGGTTAAGACTTTTTATATTGTTATTCAATTGCTAGCTCTGCCGTGGCAGCATTGTGATTTTTCTTGGCCAAAGTACTTTTGTTTTATTGTTGAGACTCATTATTATTATTTTTTTTTTACAAACAAGAGAACAAAAAGGAGCTTTCATGAAATGGCATATTCTGAAAATTTACAGTACAATAATTAATGATAGAAGACATGAAGTTACATTGATAACCGTGAATTTAATAATTTTAATAAAATAAGTAGTGAAAGGATGTGTGATAAATATCCCCATCTGGCTCAAGAAATGGAATAGCATGGATGCTTATATGATTTAGAAACTAGCTTCTTATATAAAAACCTGTATGTAAGCCTTGAGGACTTCATTATTGACCTGCACACTGTTTAGATATTCCTGCAGCATTAAAAGAACCTGCCATTTGGGTCCTGTAGGTTGTCACCAAAGCCAGAACCTGCTTTAGATGGCATTTTGCCCAGAAGCAAGGTTCTGTTGTTTGGAGTTGCACCCTGCAAATTTGGCATGCCCCCAATTCTGGTGCCACTTTAGGGCAGCTTTAGCCCCACCTGGCAAAAATAATGCCGTCTTAGCACGCCTCGATAGTTATATTCTTTTACTCTCATTACTCCTTTTGCCAATCTTCCCTTTCTCTTCCTCTAACATATTATTGCTGTCGTTCTTGTGAAATATATTTAGGGCTCGACATGTACATTTTCAGAGGCTATTTTACGAGAATGTGGATTTCGAACTGGGCTCTTCACTTCGCCACACCTAATCGATGTCAGGGAAAGATACCGTATCAATGGGTAGGAATTTAACTGCAGTATCATTCACTGAAACATGTTCTCAATAGTTATATTTTGGCTGATATGTCTAACTGAATGCCACTGCAATGGACTTCGCTCAACCATGGAGTATTACATGGAGTCAGATTGATTTTTGTTATATTTGAGTTCTTTTATTTGTATTTGTGGGTGGCTTGACCAGCTGACATGGTGCAACTTTTAATACTTTTCAGAAAAAACAGAAAGTGTACTCTTTATTCACGCCCCTGTAGCACCCTGGTCTTACACATGCCTGTTCTGATGTTTCGATACAAGAAACTAGACTAAAAACAAAAAAAATAAACATAATTTTTGCTAGAAAATGTTGCTGCCACGTCCTCAAACATGTGCTCCAAAACCAGTCAATCCTGCAGGAAAATCAGCAAACCATATTTTGCATAGGGTCACCCCCTAGGACTTCAAACAATCGCTGGATCCCTGGATCGATGACACACCTTCTAGAATACAAGCTCCCTTCCCTTCATTTCACTTGGTTTTGAGTGAAATGGTTGCAGGTATGTGTTCTAGGTTTCATGCACTTCTTCACCCCTAGATCTCTAACACAAAGCATATTTGAAGAACACTCAATTCTTCACATGACCCCCATGAGTGTGCCTGACATTCTCTCTCCTCACCACTCACCAAAATCTTGTAGGGGGAAGACATTTTCTCTGTGGTGGTTGACGGAAAAAATCATGGGGTTGCAAGTTGTAGGTTTCTTCTATCCCTTGGATCAAGGATTTTGAAGATCATGAACCCTAACTCTAACCGACATGCATTTCACCGTTCTCTTTGTTTTCTCTCCCGCAACCTAAAAATTTGAATTTTTGGATTCCCCCTTTTTATTTTCTCAACCTCCCATTTGACCTAACCCTAGGTTTCCTCATCTGGAACTCTCTTTAAAAGCTAAAGACTCATTGATAAAGGGCTGGATACCATTTATAGAGTGGATTCTATGGATAATATAATGGGAAATTGTCTTCTAATTCTGTTGGGGGATTCATGGTGTTTGAGGGCTAATCTAAGTCATTTGATACTTGCCCAACCATCATGGATCAAAGGTGGATGATGCACCATTATCTCTTGGAGCTCTTCAAGCTCTAGGTGGATTACTTTTAGATATTTTATATGACTTCTGGATCTAGTTGGGTTCTTCATAAGTAACTCCTACCAGAAAAAGATTTCCCAATCCCAACTTAGATCTAGTTCCTAACCACCTAGGTTTGACTTTCCAAATTTTGTAGTCAACTAGGTTTCCAAAATATTTTGACTAACTGCCACCTTAGATTCCACGGATTCAAATCACCTAAGGATACCAAATTGGATCACACGTCCACTAGGAGATCTAATGGCCTCCATTCACTATCTTTGGCCCATTTACCAACCACATGGCACCGAAGGCCAGTGGGGGGCCATGCTGGTCAAAAACTCGAACCGTGCGAGCCATAGAGACACAAATCACATGTCAAATCTAGGTGCCACATATGGGAAGTATTCTCCGATCTAGTTTCCAATGTAAAGAAATGTTAATTCCTGGAATATCCTAATTATAAAACAAAGTATTTACCCAAATATATCCTTATTTGCAATTTAGGTTCACTAAACAGAAATAGTTGCTAATAGAAGTAACACACATGCTTGCAAACTGCACCTTTCAATATCCAGAACTCATTGTTTTTCCTGACTTGTCGAATTTAAAAACACTAAAGTAACACACATGCGCAAGGACCTTCCAAAAACATGTGGAATAAAACATTTACAATGTACCTGGCCATCTCTCATATGACCTATATCCCCAGAGCAGATGCTGCCTCTTCCAGATGCTACATGTTACTGTTTCTTGAGATGGCAAGGTTTTAGATTCAAGAGCTCATTACAGATAGTTTCACTATCTTCTTGACCATTTCTATCAAATTACTCCCGATGACCCTAACATTCCTGTAATCACCTTATTATTTAGAGGTATTCCATAACCTTTCTCAAGGTTTCGTAGAGCATGAGTTATGACTATCATGAAAATATCTTGCCCGAAACTAGGATCTTTGAAAACTATCTCACAAGGTTTTCTATCCCCATTTGCCTGAATCCCTCTGAGATGTCCTCCTAGAAGGTGATGACCTCTAGAGGGCATTTAGCTCACTTAATCTTCTAAGACATAGTGGTTTAGAAGATACCCAACTACACTTTAGGGTTTAACCTAAGAGTCACACCATAGTTACTTGAAGCGATTAGGAATTGGAAGCGTGGAATCGCCACCCGTTGTAAGATGCCTATTTTTGGCATCGACGTTCGTACATGGATGGAATCAAGATTCCTAGCTCTTTCGAATCGAGTTTCCGAACTAGTTGGAATCAAACAATATGGAATCGAGATTCTTGCATCTTTGGAATTGAGAGGGTAGTGAAAGGAAAACAATACATGTCTCAATGCCATTCATTGATCAACATGCCGTACATGCATGTTTACATTATATTTATAACATCTTGGATTTGCAATCTCTCCATTGGATCAATACAATGCAACTTGAAGAATTAAATAGAGAATGTGGACCGAAAGTTATACAACTCAAAAAAAGTAGAGAACGTGGACCACCACTTTGGTTTCTATTGGTCATTTCATGCCACAAATGATGACTATAGCTTGAGATTGGGTGTCTAGCTCGAGTAGGTTGATGCCTTGAAAACTCCTAAACATCACTTCTCATAAAAAAACAAAAAGGAAAAAAAAAGAAGAGGGGCGGGGGGGGGGCGGGTGTTTAGACTTCCATAAATCTAGAAACTAGTTTCAATAAGTGTGGAGTCAAGATTCACCAATTGTTATGCTTGTAGAGATAATCTTTAGCATGAATTTAGGAGGATAGTCAAGTTTGTTACTGACAATTTGTAAACTAGAACTATAACATTGATGGTGATACTAAGGATCTTTTGTGTTGGTCATGATAGTAACCCAAAACATGTTAGCCATTCTCTCTAGTGTGGATTTGGCCCCTTGAGTTTCTTGAATGTTCCTCTCGCTGAAGCTTCAATTATGCTCAATAGTTTATAATATTAGAATGATTTTTTGCAGAGTACATTTTGATGGAGCAAGGCTTGTTCATGTTGGGGTTTGTGGCATTTAAAGGCCTAGAGAGCTTGTAAATAAAACTATTTATAGTGATTTGTGTACTTTAATGGGAGTGTACTGTGGTTGATTGACCTAGGGTTGGGTGGTCTATGGCCAGGGTCATATCCTAAACCCTTACCCCCTAGGCATGTGGCACTCGTTGAGGGTTTATTGTGGTTCATCCCTTGTTGAGGGTGGAGAGATGCCCAAAGACGATTGTAGATCAGGAGTGTGGTCTTCTTTGTATGGAGGAAGGGCCATATCCTCAACAAAACTCGCACGGCATGTACGTATTACAACCTCATTTTGAAAAGCAAACTTATATAGAGGGGCACGTGTACATGTGCATCGAGAGAGCGTCCCCTTGCACTATAGTGATGTGTGTATTTGACTTGCTCTTAAGGGGGAACCTGTAATCCACATACTGGGACTATGGTTTCATTGGGAACCTGTAATTCACATACTGGGACTATGGTTTCACTGTTTATTGGCTAACTTTGATGGGCCAATAATGAGTCTTTGCACTTGGCTACGGGTCATGGGTCTCGTTGGGTTAGTTTTAGAAGACAATAGTGGATCATATATCATGGCACAGTTGGAGTGCCTCGATATTTATTTGTTATTTAGTTGTATTTCTTTATGTTTTAGATTTTGTGAAACTCCAGAAATATTGTTTTTTGCTAAAAATAAGTTATTGTGAGTTTTAGATTTTTTCAGAATTTGGAAATATTTTAATTTGATTAAAAAACCCTAAAATGGTATTTCTAAAATTTTAATGATTGCAAGGGTCTATTGGATATTTGTTTTATGATGTGGGACCGACATGGAGAGGCTATGGGCCCAACCCCACACGTGTAGGCCCCACATGGGGGTGTCACATGTCCCTCATAATGGGACGCCCCAAAATTTTATGGCACGTGTTTTTTCAAGAAATATCTTATTGTTTTGATGAAATATTTTCTTAGCGAAAATATTTGGTTAAAAAATATTCTTCAAGAACATCTTTTAAGTGTATCTAGTTTATCTTTGACCAAATTTGAATTGTTTTGACTTCTTTATTATCCCTTTTTGAGAGAAAAGGAATTCTAGAAGATTATGTTTGACTGGTCAAAGTTCTGGATTGATTAGAAGTGTATATAAGTCAAATATCAAGGGATAAGGTTCCTAAAGATTTTTTCTAGATCATGATGGCTGATCTTGGAGATGGCTCAAATTAAATCTTCTATCTCACCTCACAGATTGCTTAATAATCCTAGATAGTGTTGAACTCCTAATCTGAATGGGACTCCCTAAGCCCTAGAGGCCTATAAATAGGGGCTAGGGGGGATGTCCCCCCCTTATTACACGCATCAGATCTCTTTCCCCTCTCTCTTTCTCCTCTCCATATCATTCTCTCTCTCTCCTCTCTAGCAGGTGGCACACACCTCAAAGAAGAGTCAAGGAGGGGGACACTCCCACCCCTTTTGTCTTATAAATTTGGGAGGTGCCACTTGGGCATGACCCTAGGTAGAGAAAGGTTCTTAGTGAAACCCTAATTGTGACCCTTGTTTGCCCCATAACATTTAGAGAGGGAGTCCCAGAGTTGTTTCCCAGTTCAAATTGGTGGATTTAGCAGGTTCTAGGATCAAAGTGCGCCATTGATTAGGTGATCGGGTGTGGGGTCTTCTAAGCCCTAAGGGGGTAAACCTAGACGAAAGTAAGTCTTCCCATACTAATTTTTAGTTTTTATTTACTGCTGTTCTTGTTTATTTTATTTCCTAAAGTTGTTGAAGTTTTATCCAGTTTGAATAAGGTTTATTTTTGGCAATAAGTTATTAAGATCCTAGATTGTAGTAGGCCTATTTTATTATAATTGTTGCACATGTAAGTAGAATTTCCAGCAATTAATAAAATAAAAGAATATAATTTTTTGAATTTACAACTTGTATTTCTACATTGCCACTTCTTTCAGTTAGGCCACAATGACCTTATGTGTTATCTAGTCTCAATTCACTGAAAGGACTTTGAGTATTAAGTTACAACTTGTACTTCTACATTGCCACTCCTTTCAGTTCTGCCACAATGACCTAATGTGTTATCTAGTCTCAATTCACTAAAAGGACTTTGAGTATTAAGTATATGTGGAAGGTAACTTGAATATGCTCTTCAAGAAGATGAATCTGATAGTTCTCATCAAAAAGTAAGAAACCAAGGGAAAGCATAGTATATGATCAATGCGATTATAGAAATATGTGGTAATAGTGTTATCACCAGTGTTAAACTACATAGACTTTGGTTCGGACTTGCTAGAGTCCCGAGCTCGAGTCATGTTTGACAGGCTTGACTCACATGTCAGAGAATCGCTGGCTCCAAACATGAAATTAATAAAATATTGGGAACTGGCCAGATTTGGCTGGTTCCCATTTGTTTGGTTTGGACTCAAATCTGACTGGTTCCCATGAGTTTGGATCCAGACTCGACAGCCTCCTGAGTCTGAGTAACTTAGACGAGACTGGACATGCCAATTTTCCAATACTAGTTATCATTGTCCAATTAATTGATGGACAATGGAGGGAGAGTGGGAGTGGCCCCTTAGGTCATTTCATGTTCTTAAGGGTTGTGATGTCTCTCCATCACTGGCCATGCATTTTATGGCAGGGATAATGCTTATGATCATAGCATTTCTATCAAGCTATATATCATAGTACACTTTATAATAAATCAAACTTCTGGATATCGTTTTCATCAATTTTGTCACAGTCCTGCCCCCTGAAGCCATACCGTACTTGCCGGAGGGTAACAGGGTGTGGAACCGTGATCAGAGGTAGCGAATGCCACTCAGGTGGGAATGGGCTCAACGCTTTTGAAAAGAAGGAATCGAAGCAAACCACGAAAGAAAACAAAAACTCCAGTCACAACCATAACCAAAGCCAAACAAATTAAAACCAATGTGTACATAAGAGCTTCAAGTTATTACAAATATGTCTCAGGGCACTAAAGGCCCAACAACAGAATACAAAGCTTTACAACAAAACAATAGTATGGCCAACTGCCATCTAACACCTACAATCAAAAGGGAAGCTTCTCGTCAAGTGTGGGTCTTCAACCGCCAATCACGGTCACCCAACCATCCGTCCTCAAACTGCGAGTAATCACTCTACATTGAAGAAAGTCAAAGGGATGAGCTATGAAGCCTAGTAAGTAGATCAAGCACCATGCATTCCTGCCTATACATAGTTATTCATAGCCATCCCCAGAATTCATGCAGGTTATACCATATGGGGTCATGCATCACAGTTCAACATGTTGTGAGAAATTTTTTTTTCATGGCAGAGCAAGCACAAATCAGATATGAGATATCATATGAGCTAACAGTTTATCAGATCAACAAATTCAGGCAAACATATATTAACTACACACAATCCTAAAGTTGCCTATTCCCAAAGTAGAAGCCTTATCCATCAGGCCAAGCCAATTCCATGGCTTAAGACTTCTACTATTCTTTAGGAGGAAAGACAATGATAAATGGATGACCCATTTCGTAATTGCTTCACACACACACATACAGTCCCCAGTGCGCTTTGGGGCTTTTGATAGGTAGAGGCCTTGCAAGACACGACCCTCTCCTTATGCCCTTCAAGCGCGAGAGCGTTACACTACCAATGGATGACCATTGACGTAGTGTCCATACAGATTTTGGGGGAGGGGGCGACCCTCCCGACTATTCACATTCAAATCCTAACTCCCGTCCTATCATGGGGAGTTAGGGAAGATTCTCAACTGCCGGCACAACTTTCTTACACTACCAATGGATGACCCGTTGCGTAATGCCTCAAATCACATTCAGTCATAACATATCACACTATCAATGTATGACGCATTGCATAGTGCTTCATATCACATCTGTGGCATGTCTTATTACAACCATGCTCACTCACTATTTCATAGGCATTTCTTACTACAACCATGCACATTCAATATTTGATAAGCATGCACCATTTCACAAGCATTCACTAATTTCATAAGCATGTCTTATTACAACCATGCTCATTCAATATTTCATAAGCATTCACTATTTTCATAAGCATGTTTTATTACAACCATGCACATTCAATATTTCATAAGCATGCACTATTTTACAAGCATTCACTAATTTCATTAGCATGTCTTATTACAACCATACTCATTCAATATTTCATAGGCATTCACTATTTTCATAAGCATGTCTTATTACAACCATGGACATTCAATATTTCATAAGCATTCGCTAATTTCATGACAGAGCAGAAATGTCAATGTAACAGTCTCTTAGAAAAATGAGCATAGCTTCCACTCCATAGGGAATTTCATCATGGTTCCAAAACCATTTTGAAAATAGACTCGCGCATCTGTCTTTTAGAAGTGGTTTGGCCTCATTCTGAGGCATTTTGGTAAGTAAACGATGCTACACAAAACATGTGATAGTTATGGAAAATTCAGCAGAAAATCAAGTGTGGTATCCTCGTAGAAAAACGAACATAACTTTCGAATCACAGAGAATTCGATCATGCTTTCAAGACCATTTTTAAAATAGATTCATAAATCTTTCATTTAGAAGTGGTTTCAGCTCATTCTGACATGAATTGGTCAGCAAACGGTCTTACACAAAAACATGTAACAGTCCTGGAAATGTTCCTGCATTCACAACAGTGACATCTTCATAGAAAAAGGGGCGTAGGGAATTTTGTTTTGATTCCAAAACTATTTTTAAAGTAGACTCACTCATCTTTCATTCAAAAGTGATTTGAGCTCATTCTAACACTATTTGGTCAGTGAACAATCATGCACAAAAACATGCAAAGTTTCTGGAATTTCTTTTCATGATTCTGGCATGTTCTAGCAATGGCTCATAACTTTCCAATTAAAATAGATATTGATATGGGGTCTTTTCCCCCTTAAAATAGACTCAAAGGGGTACTTCCCCACAAAATTTGATAATCAACAGAGATGTCTTCAAGACTCAAACTATCACACCAATAGGAGTCACAGTTCTGAAAAAACAGGGCACAACCTAGCATAATTTCATTAACATTCATCCCCCACACATTTACCATTACATTCACATCCATACTTAGATTTCATACTAAGCAATCAAACAAAGTCATGGATGCCAGATCTACTTACATGTATCCAACAGAACTCCAAGTTCCCCACATAGGCTCCCCTCAAATGCTAGGCTTCCAAGGATGGCCAAGCCTAAAGTTCTAAGTGTTTGAAAGGGAGTTTGTGAGAGAGAGCAAAACTCTTGAGAGGGGTGTGAAGGGGGTTTATATATGCAAAGAGGGGGAGGCAGCAGGCAGGTGGCATGCAAGAGGCTACAAGTGGCATCCAGGTGGCTTACTGTGACATACAAGTGGCGTACATGTGCCACGTGGAACTCATAGAAGTTCATTCACTCTCGTCAGCAACGCGCATGGCGGCATCACTTGCACGCACGGTGGCTTACATGCACGGCGGTATCCCTCGCACACACGGCAGTATCACTTGCATGCACGGCGGCTTACACGCATGGCGGCATCCCTCGCACACACGGCGGCTTCCTCTTACACGCACGACGACATCCCTCTTGCACGCACGGCGGCTTCCTCTTACACACACGGCTGCATTCCTTTTGCAAGCATGGCGGCTTCCTCTTACAGCACGGCGGCATTCTTCTTGCACGCACGGAGGCTTCCTCTTACGTGCTAGAAAAGTCCGGGTCCTCACAAATTTATAGGATCATTTTCCACAAATATTATTGTTATCGTGTTCTTTCTTTGTTTATTTTTTTTTTCCTGTTGGTGCTGGTTCTGGCTTAGTCTTAATGTCTTCTTTGTACTTTTGGTGGATTGTTTTCTCCACATTTTAGATAATCTTGAGGTCCCTTTTCATTGAAGGCAAAACAAGGCTATTGATGGGAAGTGGTAAACTTTGAATCTCTGAAATTTCTTAACAATAAGTTCTATTTTTGTAACATCAGAACAATATGCATTAATACTGAGTTCCATTTTTGTAACACCATTGTAATATGCGACCATAACATCATTGTATTATGCATTCATAATGCTCATATGCATTTCCAAAGTGACAGTTTCCAATTATCGTTCTGCTCTCTTGCATTGCTTTCCTGTAAATTACGTTTTCCTCACCACCTTGTTACTCTTATTTCACAATGATAATGTTTGCTTTTTCGATAAAATGATGGGTTTTGGCATTTCCTTTGTTTCTTGACTGGTTCTTTTTTAGCTAGTCAATATTTTGAAGAGCAAACATCTGACTGTTGATGCTTTGATTATGTTGTTACTCAATTTGTTTAGGTTGGATATATCTGAAGATAAGTTTCTACAGTACTTTTGGGGTTGTTGGTGCAAACTAAAGGTAATTCTATGTGCTTTGACAGATTGGGTAACTTTCATGCTTCGATTCTTCTGCAATTTAGGCAAAGCTGTTTCTCTTTGGAAGCTGCTAAAATTTGATCTTACATTACCTTGGCTATGCAGTTGTCTATTTTACATTTCTTCCTTCCTTAAACTTAGCTTGAGACGTTTGTAGAGGTATTGGATGCTAAAATATGAGGAGATCTTGGGATGGAGTACCATATTTACCAGTTTGGAACGACGACCAAAATTCATAAGAAAATTGGGGAATATGAAAAATTAATATGGAATGGAAATTCAAATCAAGATTTTGGGGCTGAATGTTTCAATGTATTGGTGCTTCAAAATGGTACTTGAGCAGACCGGGAGTTCAAATGCAACATAGTTGAATATATATATATATATATAAGAAGCATCTACGCAATGCCTATGGGCGGAGATGCTATAGTGATCTCGTCCATAGCGCCATCGTCGTCTGTTTTTTTCAGGCGGCAAGGATTTTTTGACCGCCATAGACATAGCATGTCTGTGACGGCTATGTTGGTGGCGCTCGAAAAATCAATGGAAACCGCCACGGACCATTTGCTGTCCGTTGCAGCTTCGTTCAATAAACCGCCACGGACGTAACGAGTCCGTGACGGTGCCAACACTATTCATTTTCGTTTTGGCGAACACTATTCATTTTCGTTTTTTCGCTTTTTCCATATATATATATATATATATACACACACACACATACACACTAGCTCATATCAACATATGAGCCCAATGGCCCAGATTGACGGTTACGATCTCATTCCGTATTTGAATTTTAAATTTTTTCTACAAATCCAAATTACATGAAATTTTAAACGTCCATTCTTTACAAATTGGAGAATATAATAAAAATATATAAAAAAAAGCTTCAATAAATAAATTGACCAAAATACCGCCAAAATTTTCCAAGGGTATTTTGTTCAATTTTTTTTTCGAATTATTATTTTTTATATTTTTATCAGGTGCGCATTAATGAAAAGAATGGACATTTTAAATTTCATGTAATTTGGATTTGTAGAAAAAAAATTAAAATTAAAATACCAATGAGGTCATGACCGTCAAATTGACCTAGATTCAATCTGGGCTGTTGGGTTCATTTGTTGATATGAGTTAATGGGCTAACCTCAGCATTTTCCTATATATATATATATATGGAAGTTGTTTTCCAGTTTCTGCAAGTATCATATGTAAGTTATTTGTTTTTCTTCTTTCATGTTATTTGTTTTTCTTCTCTCATGCAGTTTAAAATAGTTATTTATATAAAATTCTGGCATGTTATTTATGTGAATTGGATCATCAGTAATATATCGACTTCTTTGTGTGTTTCTGCTTAATAATATTTATCTTTGCAAGACTGTCAATTTATCTTTAAAATTCCTTTTCATCTATGTTTCCTCTGTTTGTTGTTATATTTTGCTTATGTGAGCCTTCTGGTATCAGAGCCTTCGACTTACAGTGGTGAATTGTAGAAAATACTGCTCTAATGAATAGAAACTAAGAAAAATTTTCCACAAAAGATAACTAAATTGACACCAAAAGTCGTCGTGACCCCAACTATCGTTAGGCCAGGAAGAGCCGTGAAAGGTACAGGGACTGTTTCCGACTGACTCAGTGATCAAAGATTATCAGAAATGGCAAATTTCCTTGGGACTCTATCCAATAGGACAACTTCTTCTTCTAATAATGCACTGCATGTAAGAAATAGAGAAGAAATAACTATACATAATATAGAAAAACAAATTCAGAATTGGAATATTCCTAAAGTTCCAGCATCAAATGTTACGGCAAAGGAACTTTTGAATTTAAAACAAGTTTTTCCATTAAAACTGTAGAACAAAGTATTTCTATCACCAATGAGCAGAATAGTTTCCAACTTCTTTCAAATCGAATGATACAAGACCACAAAAATAAGAGTTAAAAATATTTGCATATAGGACTTGTCCAAATTGCTATAAAACCTCTTACTCGAATTGGTTTAAATAACTCGGTCCTTCTTTGCCTAAGGGACGAGCGAAATAATAAATTTTTAGACTCTCTACTTGGAATAGTAGAATCAAGTCTTTGTAACAGTCCTATATACTTCAATTGTTTCCTCAATTTTTCGGTAGCCTTGACAGATCTGAACCTCTTGAAAGTTCTTACCTTAAATATAAAAACCCAAGGGTTCGATATGGATTCAAGATCCCAAAATATTGCTCTAGTTTATAAGATATGCTATAAAGTGATGAACACTTTATGCTCAAATGCACTTCAGATAGATACTAAAGGGCAAACGGTGTTATACCAAACTAATATGAAAAAAATCTAATACTGTTATACCAAGGTCTATGGCCTGGTCTTAGATTAGACTCCCTAAAAAATGGTTTCTACACTGTGAAAATCAACAGTCTAGAATCCCAGTGAATCGAGAACCCGAACAAATAATAGAATACCCAGATGGGGATGTAGAAATACAATTTAATTCAAACAGACGGACTCGAATAAATATTTTTGAAGGCCCTTCTAGAATTCCTTCATGCTCTACTTCTTCTGTTCCATAGTCAGAACATGAGCAAAATCATAGGAGATCAGTAGTAGAAGGATTGACTATAACAAATAGTCAAGTCGAACAACCAGTATATAGAATATAGGAACCTAGTTCCCCAGATAAAGAACCAACGCCTTCTGACTTAGATTACAATATCCTTACTCTCTAAGAAGAAAAAATAGAAGAAAAAGTATTTAAAATGGATAAAGAATGGATAAGACAAGACTTCCTGTCTGATGAAAATAAGAACATCCGGGATTGGTACCTGGCTGAATTCCCCCAAACCTATTAGATGCGTTGCATAATAAATTCAATAAATTCATATTAAAACATAAGAGAAATATAAAGTTTTTTGAATGGTTAAGATATATTCTTAGGGAAAAAGACATTAAAATCCCATAATTTGGTCATAACTGTTGAGAACCAGTATCAAACCTTTTATACCACTGAAGGGGAAGAATTACAATCCATTCATCCCCCTGAAGGAAGTCTTAAGATGAAAGGGAAATGTGAAGATGAACCCGAAGCTAAGGCTTCACCTTATAAAATTTCTCCTAAAGAAACGGATCACCATACACATAAAATAGATGCCATTCCACATCTAATTGAGCAGAACAATTATACTAATCTGCTTACAAACCATTGGAAGGCAGACAACTAGGATTGAAAATATAATAAGTAGCCCACGGGAAAACCCTATGGAGCATAAGAAATCGGAAGGTAAACAGGCTTTACTGTTTAAACCCCCTCCAACTATTAATAAAAGTCAGTTCAGCCTTCAAGGTATAAAAAAGAAGGATAATAATAAAGAATTAGTAGATGAGCTAGTTAGAAAACTAGCAAAGTTAAATATAAAAGAAAAGGGAGTAACTTCTAAGACAAGCTCTGACCAAGGAGCTATGGTCCTGCAACAAGAACCCTTTCCTAATAATGAACTTGATAAAATAGAACAAGCTTTTAAAACAGAAAGTCTTGAAATAAATCGAATAGACTGTGGGAAAAAGTTTAGGACTACTTCTCAAACAAGAATGTACTATCCTAGGCCTACCCCTGTAGATCTCCAGTTTGAAGAAGATTTAATTACAAGTTCTATATCTTACTCTGGAAGATCCATTGTAAATTGTAATATTGATGGCATGTCAGAAAACCAGATTCTTGATCTTATGAAGCATATGACCATGTATGCTACTGCCTGTAAGATAAGTGGAAACCATGACCAAGAAATAGCCAAAGCCATTATTTGTGGATTCACAGAATGGCTGAGAGGTTGGTGGGATTTCCACATGGATGAAAATACGAAAAATGAAATATTAACTGCCACTAAACAATGGGTAGTTAAAAATGAATTGGGTCTAGATATAATAAATACTAAAAGTGATGCAGTCAATACTTTAATATATACAATTACTCTCCACTTTGTAGGGAGTACTGCGTTATTAGATGCTAGATCAGAAGACCTGCTTTCTAATTTAAGGTGTCCAACATGATCCCATAAGTGGTACAAAGATGTATTCTTCTCCCGATTTTTTTCTAGAAAAGACAGTAAGTCCGATCACTGGAAATAAAAATTCATATCTGGCTTACCTCATCTTTTTGCTGAAAAAGTCAAAACACGCCTAAAAAATAAACCTGGAGGAATAATCCCATACTCTTTATATACACTAGGAGAATTGTCAGCAGAAATTTGTGCATAAGGCCTTGCTCCCTGTACAGATCTAAAATTAAAAAGACAGCCTGATAAACAAAGAATGACTGGAAGAAAAGAATTAGGAGATTTTTGCGAACAGTTTGGGTTCAATACTCTACCATCTTCCAGAGATTCTGATAAAAAAAGATACAAAAATAAAAAATATATCAATAAGGTGAGGTGCAATAAACCTTCGACAAAAGAAAGATTTTCTAAAAAGTTTTCCCCCAAAAATACCTCTTTTAAAAGCAATGGAAAGAGGAAAATTCCTATTTGCTATAATTGCGGAAAAGTAGGTCATTATAAAAATAAATGTAGAATCAAGAAGAAAATAGATGCTTTACAAATAGATGACCTTATCAAAGAGCAACTGTTTAGTATATTACAAATTGAAGAAGAATCTTTTGAAAGTTCTTTTGATCCAGATATAAAAATGTTAACAAGAGAAATAGAGGACGAAGAATTGATTCTGAGCAGTTTAGACTCTGACATTGATAATATTGATACTACATGTTTTTGTAATACTCTTTCAAAAGAACAAATCCTAATCATAGATCTAATCGATAAAATAACTGATCCAGAGACTAAGCGAGAAGCTTTGGTCCAGTATCTAAATATAGCTAAAACAAATAAAAAACCTTCTTCTCCTCTTGTACGTACTCAAGAAGATTATAGTTTTGCCAATATTCTTAGAAGAGTTGAAAATAAAAATAATACCTATAAAGAACCTTCCATCTCAGAACTAAGACAA